TCATATGAATAAATCATGTGTTTACATTAAAAAATAATAATGAAACAAAAGCACTGCTGTCAACAGGGATTTAATCAACTCATCTTTCAGCACTGCTTCCTCCAAATGCCAAAAAGTATTGATGTGAGCCTGACTAGGGGTTATTGTTATTATTATTTTGGAATAATCACAGACACACGCGAAATTGCAGAAATAGTGCAAAGAGTCCCATGTACCCTTCATTCAACTCCGCCCCCAGTGGTGATGTCTTATATGGCTGTTGTACAATATCAAAACCAGAAAGTTGGCATTGGTACATTACTGTTAATTAGACCGTAGAACTTATTCTAAAAGTTATTTTTTTAATATAGCCTTCTCACTATTCATTTATTTGTTTAAAATGTGTATTGAGCACCTTTAGTGTGCCAGATATAGTGTTGGATAACAGGATTGGTAGGGACACCTCGGATTTTTGATTTGCAAAATTTATTGAGCCTTTTTTGTGACCTAGTATAAAAGTGAGAATAGCATCCCAGAGGCCTGGGATCCAGCAGTGCACAGGGAGTGCTGACCACAGCTCTAAAAAAGGAACTATGTCCCTTGCTGTCCTGGTCATGGCACTTCACAGCTTGCCTGAAGCTGATGTTTAGTCCTTAAAAGAGCATGAGCAATTACTCAGGCTATATTTATCCCCATTCCTGGAGCCACACAGGGATTTGGCCTTGCTCTACCAAAATCTTCAGCTCATCACTCATGCCCATCAGAGATAATCATGTGTCATCAACACAGAAATAGTGAGCTGGTGGATGCACACTGGCACACAGCTTGGGGTGGCTCTCCCCACAGGCCATTTGGCTCAAAGCCTGGGAAGAAGTTTAAAAGTCCCAGGCCAAAATCACATCCTAGGACTGAGAGACCAGGCCAGGAGAAGCAGCATCTTGCCAAGAACACTGCCAGCTACGGGACTAACTGCTGAGATAACCACCCTGGGACTTTTGACCTGCCCGCCCCTTTTACACCTGGGGACTCTGTTCAATGCTCAGAATTTAGTAGGCCCTGTATGAGTAAGTGAAAAAATAAATCAGTAGGAATTGCATCCAGGAGACAATAACAGGTGTCATTTACTGAACATGGTGCCCTATACTGTGTCAGTCACTTTACATATAAGGTTTAATTCGGTCCTACCAAATCCATGTGACATAGAGCTTCTGACCTCCATGTCCTAGATAAGGATCTGAGACTTGGAGAGGTCAAGGAGCTGGCCAGTGTTTCAGTTTGTAAACTCAGCTCTTTCTGAGTCTAGTCCTCAGGTGTAGGGTTCAAGACAGCAGACTGGAAACAAAGTATTTTCTTTCCTTTCCAGGATCTTATTAAAATAATAGCAAGGACTCCTTAAGAGAGAATAAAGCCTTAGTCACAGAGAGACTGGGAGGGGGCCTGAGTGAACACATTTGTGGGATGGACCAGAAGATAGAAGAGTGGTGCCTAATGAAGCTGGCGGGAGCAGGCTCCAGCCTAGCCCTAGACAACCCACACAGAAGAGGGCTCAAGTCTTCTGGTGTCCCTAAGAGGCTCTGAACTTTAAAAACCAGGTGTGACAGTGACAAAGATGGGATATGGAACAAACATAGAGGGGACGATTGAAAGTCTGTGGAGAAAAGGGCCTGGGAAGGAAAGACTCCAAGTAACTTTTGTACATGGCATTTGGACTAAATTTCTTCAGGCTAAAGGGATAAAAGAGCTGTCAACAAATACTGAGTAGATTTTTTTCATAGACAAAAGGATTAGCAATTCCAAAAATACTTTCTGTGCAATCTAGGATTGAGTAAATTAGTAAATATATTGTTAACGAGAATCAAGTTTCTCATTGTCAAAGGAGAAAGTTACAAATATGGAAAGGAGGGAAAATAGAATAAATCATGCAGTGCTGTGTTAGAATTGTAGTATTGTAATGAACTGGATAGATGGATGGATAGATGGATGGATGGATAGTTATGTATATGGGCATGTATATGTAAACATATATATTTATATACATACAGACAGACATGCGTGTGCATAAATATACATCTATTTCTTAGCCTGGAAATAATGATGCCCCAGTAGCAACAAGCATAGTTTGCACACAAATTCTGGTTTATAAATACCATTCTCCAATAAAAGAATCTA